AGAATCCGTCTAAACGGAACTGTACTTCCTTTTTCTCCCCCACCACTTAGGAAAAAAATAATTCAGTAAAATAAAATTTAAAAACAATTTTTTTACTAACAAATTTTAAAATTTTATTTACCAACAAAAATTGATCAATAAAATTAATTAACAATTTAAATTTTTTATTACCGATTAATATTTTTGTTGATAAATTTTATCATTAAATCGTTTAATTTATCAATGAAAAATTTCGTGGAAAATTAAAGTTATAATTTTTTGACGGAATGAATTGTGAAATATATTATTAATGAAATTATTTGTTAATAATATAAATTGTAATATATTAATGAATTTAAATCTCAAATTTTATTAACCAATTTATTATTGACATGAATTTCCATCTATAATTTACATTCTAAATTTTTTCAATAAAAAAATGTTGGTAATTTTAAATTGATTGACAAATAAATTTATTTCTATTGATAAAAGATAGTTGATATTTACGATTTTTTTGTGTGGATATTGATAAAAAAAATAAACATTTATTTGTTTACTACGTATTATATATTGTGTATCATTTATTGATGACAAATTATTATTGAAAGCCGAGAGACAATTAAAGAATTCCTTATGAGTTTAACTTAGTATTTCTTATGACTTTGTCTTATAATTATATGTGATATTTAACCTTTGGTTATGACTAGTATATTAGTTTAGTTTTGATTAGTAGACATGACTTATTTTGTTTTAAATTGATATTTACATTTAAATATTGGTGTTTAAATAAAATTATTGATCAATTTTGATGTTTATTATTTATTATTAGTTATTGTAAATTTATTTTTGTGACAAAAAATTTAGATAATATGATTGGTTCAAACTATTTTCAATTACAAATTAGAAAACACAATAAAAATAATAAATTTAAAAACAATCACATGTTATGCTACTTATAATCTAAAGCGATGTAATATTATAGAGCTGTCAAAACAGGTCTCGGCTCAACTCGGTCCGGCTCACCACGAGTTAGTTATTTAATGAGTCAATCCAACTTGATTCACTTATTAGCGAGCAATTCAAACCGGGTTTGACCCACCACGAGTTGGTGGGTTGAATGGGTCGGCTCACTGGCTCGCTTAACTATATGTTTTTTTAAAATAAAAAAATATATAATTTTTTTAATTCAAATCTAAATAAATTTCGCTCTAAAATTATGTTAAACTTCAAAGACAATTCAAAATTAAAAAAAGTATCATATAATCCTAACGTAATCCAAAAATAAACACAAAAGGCGAACAAATAAATTTTTAATATTGATAATTTTTGTATCACTTGTCCGTCTATAATATTAGAGTCTTTAGTAGATAAATCTATAATATTTTTCTCTCTTAAAACATTTTTTTATCCCATCTACGATATAATAAAAAAATGCTAACTAATAATATTATCCAATGTGAAACTTAGACTCACACTTGTATTCCCAACATTTAGTGCCAGATTGTAACCTTATTTAATATTAATTTGAATATAAAAAAATAATCTATGGTCTTTAATATACTAGTTAAATTCTTTTAACACTTATAAGTATAACTACTAAAAATGAAATTTATAATTAAAATAACACTTGGTATTTATCTAATTTATATAATATAAAATAAATAAACAAATAAATAAAACATAAGTATTATAATTATGCAATGGTGACACGAGAGTTTCCTCTTGCAAAGAGTAGTGCAACAAACTGAGGTAACAATTGAGACGATAATTCCTTGTAAATAAGCGAAGGCGATGCAACGACTTAGAGGTAGTGTGATAAAAATATGCTTTTGAAGGTAATGGTGGTGTGACAACTTGGATGTGGGGTCGCAATGGGAGAATAAAAGCATATACTAACAACACATATGTCCAATTTAAATTAAAATTCAACTTTCTCTATTTCAAAAATATCTTGATAATTTCTTATTCAAAATCAAAACTATTTTAGTATAAATCAATTTAACTTTCCAAAAATTGGAAAACTATGAACACTAGACTTCAATATAATAAAATAACCTATAATAAATTCAATTATCAACTTCTGTGAGACCCGGGCACTGACAAGGGCGGGGAGTGGTCGCCGGTACAAGAGACACAAAGTGCAAGGGACATAAACAAAGTGCGGCTCCTGACAGGCTTCTAGTGGGAGGGACACATAGATGAATCGAACATACACCGGAATGAAATGGATCTGGAGACTGTATAGGCATGAGACTATACAGTTGAAGGATAGCTTAAAGCGATTTATTTGACTACTTATATCACCAAAATGCATTTGCTTTTTGATAGCCTAACCCATAAGAACTTCATATAACATTAATATCTTGGTTAAAATTAATATCTTGGTTAAAATTATACAACATTGTAACATATGTTATTTTAAATTTTTCATATTTGTTGTAAGTTAAACTTAATTGTAAAAAGATGTAAATTTACATCTATTACAACATTGATATGATGTAAATTTATTTTTTTCAAATATGTATAAAATTTCCTTTCCTTCACCATCTCGTTCTTTTTATTTATCCTATAAACCTAAAATTACATAAACATAAAACATCTAATATAAACTAAAATTTGTGAGAGAAAATGTATAATAAAAATACAAAAATCAGATCTTTTGTAACAAAATCAATAAACACCTATTTGTTTCACTTCAATACTACAGTTAAGTAGAAACGCGTGTGATTTACATTACTGTTGTAATTAACTAGAAAAATCTTTATTATCGCTACTAAATATGAATTTTGTAATAAAATCTCTCATACGCACTCTTTATAAGATTTTAAAAGACTCAATATTTATACTCGTATCAAATTTTAAGTTTATTTGCTTATGCAATATATATAAATATCAAATTTTAAGTTTATTTGCTTATGTTATTATGAAAGTAAAAGTAAATATTAAATAATTAATTATAAATATATCATCGATATTTTGTATGTTTATTTTGAGTCAAACATAAATAAACAAAACTTTTGTGTTAAAAATAACATCAACGTATATTATGTTTGTAAAAAAGTTTACTTAACATTCAATTTGAATAAAAGTGTATTATAGTTGTAATTATTTATCAAACTTAGTAATTTGTTAATTTTTCTTATGTTTTAATTTTTTTTTTAAAGTTTGTTTCTTTTTAAAAATTGAGTTAATAACTTTTCTTTCAAAAAGTTTATTCTTTAAAAATATATTGAGTTAAGAGAATTAAAAAAAGTTATAAATGATTTGGATGGAGTCATATTTAATAAACAAATCTACCATTAATTTTTTTTTTCTCTAACAAATTTATTATCATTAAAGTTATGTTAAATTGGGTAAAATATCTTTTAATTTGTAGCTGGGAAAGAGAGAGAAAATCATTAAAGAACTCTAAAAGAATATAAAAATCCATGCACTTTAAACTCCATTTTCTAATACTCGTGGGTAGTTTATTAATTTGAATTAATCTAAATAAAAGTAACTTTTTAATTTCTCAATGCAACCTTATTTTTACATGCAAGACCTAAAAATCTTTATTTGCATTAAAACAATTTTTTAATGAATTTTGTTTTTTCTGAACCAATAAAGGACTGATATGCTCAATCCCAAACGCCAAAACCTAACGAAGTGACCAATCAATTTGCAATCATATAGATACAAAATCTGGAGTGATTGGAAATAATGAATTCGGTATCTATATCTAACCCATCCAATTTATCTTTCCGAATATGAATAAAAACAAACTTCCAAAACAATTATATCAAATTTAATATCTAAATAAAATTATGAATACAAAGTATTTTATGTCCTAATTCATTAAATTAAATATGAATAATTACTTTTTCTTTTTTTCTTCTAGAAGAATCAGGGCTTCGAATATCAGATGGAATAAAGCATCTTACCTTCAAAAGATATTATCACTTACACACGTTATGATAAGTGTGGAACCGGTAACTATCAATTTACACAGTAGTCACAAGCGATAAATTATCAAATTATAAATTTCAGATAATTTAATAACCTTTTTTCAGTTTCCTTTTAACAAAATGTCTATGCCTTCAATTGAGCAATAAATGTTAATAAAAATAGGATTACATATGTCATGTTAGTAAAAAGGTGTAAATAATTTGTAGTTTATACATGAAGAATTTCCAAATCATACATTTTATAAATATTATAAATCAATTAGTTATTTTTTTTATGAATGTGCAAATTAATTAAAATAAATAAATAATTAGAAAAATACCTAATAGTATTATCTTAAATTTTAAACTGATATAATTTTCTTTTTAAGTTTTGAAAATAAAATAAAATAAAATAATTACAGAGTATATTACTCTCTAATTGTATTTCTTTTCAATATTCAATTTTGATAGTACTCAATATATTAATATTTAATTATCATAAAAAAAACAAATATGTGACACACCATATTACCAAATAGATGAAAAATACAAATAAATACTATTTCCATCTCATATTACATGAAATTAATATGATTCTTTGTATTAAAATAATTAATGATTTAGTTAAAGTTAAAGGTAAATGTAGCATTAATAGGCATAATGATACTATTTTGAGAAAAATATTTTAGTGATACATATACTTATGATTATTCTTAATATATAAAGAAGATAATGTTTTCATAATTATTTATTGTCATTTGTAATCAGAACATTTTATTTTTTATTCAAAAAATAATTTAATTATTTAATTATTTAATAAAATATATAAATGTGTAATTTATTTTACTATAAATAATTGTATAATCTTAAGCATAAAAATAATCATATATTTTTTTTGCTTTTATAAATTATATATATTTTTCAAAATTTTATTTTTTATATTAAAAAGTGTACGCATGGGATCAGAAAAAAAAAACATGCATGTTCATTAGTTGGTACAGAAAAAACAAAATGAAAATTGGTAAATTTATTAATAATAAACAAGAAAATAATAGTGAAAAAGAAGATTGTTGTTGGGAAGACTTGAGAGTTAAATGATCTTAGAAAGGCTGAGGGTGAAGTGCGCAATCACTTGGAGACACTAAATAATAAAACCCTTTGTTTGCAGTTCACATTGGCACTCTCTTCTCTTCCTCACTTTCAAACTTAACCTAAACCCAAACTTGTCGTTTCTTCTCCCAATCACCATCGTTCCGCCTACCACTGCGTCAATGTCGGCCACTGGTGGCGCCGCCATCGCCGGTGGAAACCGAAACCGTAATCGCCATCTCGGTGAGAACCGTTTCTACAGTCCGCCGCCCTTGCGAAAACACAGAGAGAAGCAGGAGCAGCAAAGGTCTTCGTTGTCCAGAACTTCCTCGGAGAACAGGCCCGGTTCCTCTTCCGATTGTTCGATTTCTTCTCGTGCCACATCGGATATGTCCAATTTGGATCGATTGTTGGAGCATATCACGCCCTTTGTTCCCGCCCAATATTTTCCCAAGGTAAAATCAGAGTATATTTCTCCTTTCTAGTTACTCGTTATGAAGGTGGAGGTGTTAAATTTATTTAATTTGCAGTTAAGTAGCAACATTTGACCTTTTTATTTATTTATTTAGTGAGTGAATGAATGAATAGGTAGGATGTTTGGTTAGTCAATGTAGACATATCATGAATGCCATGGTGGTTTTGTAGTTTAGTTTTTGTAATTTATGGCTTGCGCTGATGTGACCCTAGATTGATTGTTGCAAAACAAACTAGTACAGTGTGAAATGTTGTTTAGTTTGTTTTCAATGATGCACTGCTTATTTGGGTGGATTTTGTTTGTGTGGGAATTAACAGACCAACTCCAGGAAATGGAAAACTAGGGAAGCTGAATTGCATCCATATTTTGTGCTTGGAGACTTGTGGGAGTCTTTTAAGGAATGGAGTGCATATGGGGCTGGTGTTCCTATAGTGTTGAATGGGAGTGAATCCGTGACACAGTATTATAATGTCTCCTTATCTGCCATTCAGCTGTATATCGATCCTTCAAAACCCTCCACTAGACTGAGGTATGTCCGTGGTAAACATTTTGGCTCTAAATTGGATCTTAAATTTTGTACTGGATTCCTTTTTGTTTATAGATGTACCTTTCCATGATTGGTGATCAATTAACTTTTATTCTTAACTTTTAAATGTTCTTAATCAGTACTTTTTTTAGTTGTTGTCTTGTGCAATTTACTTTTGGTATGACTTGGTGAATTGAAACTGTTCATTTTAGATGTCAAGGAAGATTTTGTAATGCATTTCTATTATGCATGATGAGTAAATGGAGTTCCAATTATCCACTAAGACCTTGACGTTATCACTTGGAGTCCTTTGATGCATGGATAAATATTCTTTAAAGTTTCTAACAACTTAAGTCAGAATTTAATGAGACTGAAGCAAAGTTTCACTTTTGTCTACAAATTGATCAATTAGTTCACAAATTAATGCCCATGTTAGCCCTGCTTGATTTTTCTTATGTTAGTGTTTGATTTGTTCTTAAATATCTTAGTGCTGTATTTGCTTGTGTGGGGTGGCTATAGTGAATAAAAATATATGAAATCTGGATACATTATATGACAAGGATGTTATACAAATATGTGACAAGTATATTATACAAACAGATATGAGAATGCAGGATATTCTTCAAAATTCAAAGATATAACCTAGATAAATGAACTTGAGCTAAAAAATACTTCACATAAATGCAAAATATATGTGAAGAGAGTTTGAGCATTTCCAATTAATACATAACTATATTGGAAGATGGTGATCATGCATTCTGAAAATAATGCTTATGATAGTGGAAAAAGTTACAAAGCCGCAGTTGCCTAACTTTCAATTGTACATGTTACAAGATTACTTATTTTCCCCAAACTCAAGTTAGGATGTAACAAAAGTCATTAGTCCTACTCAAAAGAAGTTTGCAACATATTTTACCTACTGTTTACTGTATAAAGTCAGGTTTGGTCCTATTCTAAGCATTGGATTCATATCTCAAGAATATTAATTGGTAGTTTTTCTTTCTTGAAAATAAAAGATACTTCTTGGATTCATATCTAGGAGTGTGTGTATTCATATTGGACATGATATGGGTAAGACACCTAAGCTTTGCCATTGTTTAGGAGTATCTAGGCTTTGCATATAAAAGTATATATCAATACTTTTGGCTTGGCTTCTGATTATTGTGCTATGGAGATGCCTTTGGCAAGGTAGAGAGAATATTCTCCCATTACTGGGTGTTGAAGGATAACATGAGGTGGGAGGAAAGGCTAAGTAAGTAGCTTAAGAACTCACATGCCATGCATGTATAGTGCATGATTGAATCGTCTAGGCCAAGTTGCCAATGTCTGGTGGATACATCAACTTGTCTACAATTTTATAATGGTTGAGTAAGCTGGTAATATATTTTCCAATCAGGAATGTGTGATCTATCTCTCTAAGAGACATAAGAATTGAGCATATTACTGTATTGTTCATCACCTTCTGCAGCTCTATAAAATGTACTGTTAGTAGTATTTTTACGTGTTATAACTTTGATGCTATTTTGTCCGGCTACTCATAGTAGCCTTCTGGGTGTCTACTACTAGTTGCCTATTTTAATATATTACATTTAGCAAGTTGTAGACAATATTCAATATGATACAAATTTATCTTACAGTTTTATGCTCATAAACACAATCATTTAAATGCTAGGAGTTCAGATCAAGGAACCAAATCATTTCCCTTTTTGCACGTGTCATGATCTACCCTTTCCAGGACCAGTTTACCATTTTAGCTGAATTTAAAGACATGACACAGTATGATATGTAACAATGTCATTCTAATTTTCATCTTTTTCCAGGAAACCCAGTCAAGAAAGTGACTCTGAATCAGCTAGAGAGACAAGTAGTGACAGCAGCAGTGGCTATTGTCATGAAAGAGGAGCTAAGAGTGTTCATAGCAGTAGGAATCATCTTAATGTTTTGGATGCAAGCAATCATGCTTTGGAAAGGGTCTCACAAGGTAAACCTTTCATGGGTTCATCAAGTGATGAGACTGAGAGCTGCAACCCTCCTGGTCAGCTTATATTTGAATTCTTTGAGCATGAGTCACCTTATAATCGTGAGCCATTAGCAACCAAGGCAAGATGTTATCATTTGTTGGACTTACATATTAGATTGTGTGTTTGTTTGGATAATTTTTTCCGTAGCACTTTTATCTAAATAAAATAAAAGGAAAGATGAAACTAACTTTTCGTGAGCTAACTTAGCTTGTGAATGACTTTGTTTCATTTTTTTCTTATTTTCTTCTGTAAGTGCTTATGGGAAAAAAATTTAACCAAATAGATCATATTTTCTTTTTAATCCTAACAAGTATTCATATTGCTTGACTCAGATTTCTGATCTTGAACGACAATTTCCAGAGTTGAAAACGTACTGGAGCTGTGATCTTTCCCCTGCAAGTTGGGTTTCATTTGCGTGGTATGTTTTTCTCATCCTCTTGGTCTTCTAATTATTGTGGTTGGACAGTGCCTGTTGTAATTACTAATTTAAAATTATTTGTTGCTGTGTATTTTTAAAGGTACCCAATATACAGAATACCTACTGGTCCAACATTACAGAGCCTGAGTGCTTGCTTCCTGACATACCATTCCCTGTCAACAGCTCTGCAAAGTATGTCTTGTTGTCTGTATAGTTTCTGTGTATGCTAAATTTTTGTAAATAGGCATCAACTATAACACGTGTAATCTCTGAATCAGGTTCAAATACTGATGGGCTACATAATCATTATTCAAGAGGTAGGGACATATCGAAGCTATCATTACCAATCTTCGGGCTTGCCTCACACAAGTTTAAAATTTCTGTCTGGGATCCTGACGGAGTTTCTGAATGTCAGAAAGCGAACTCTCTGTCGCGGGCTGCTGAAAACTGGCTTAGGCTATTGCGAGTCAATCATCCTGATTACAATTACTTCATGACTCATTATACATATTTGAGATGACCGGAGATTCTCTCAACAGAAGCAGCCCAACTTCCTAATACCAGTTTATGTAATCCCTGCCAGTATATTTGTGTTGTCCATTAAATTAACAGTTATTTTTGCATATGCTCACAAACGCCTGAATCACTTGTGTTTTCCTAAATAGAACACCAGGGTCACTGCTTCAGTAAGGGGAGAATAGGTATTGAAAACTATATACACCTTTCAGATTGAAGGGTCTGCTTCTGATTTCATACGGATGCAAAAAAGAACACTATTAACAAAATTTAAGCTTTTTTTTTTATGTCTGTTATCCTGATTATGGCTGAAAGATCCAATTAATATACCACCTGATACATGTCTATTATTAATGATGCCAACATATTTGTCCCATAATAAACCTCTTTATGGTGTGTGGAATCTAGTTTGATTGTGACGAATCATGCCATTGAAGTAAAAATCATGACAGGAAAAAATATTGGTAACATTATTTATATTCCATGCATGTACATGCATGATGATCTTTGCTAATGATTTCGTATGTTATGACTGTGACCAAATCCTGGGTCACTTGCAAGTAAAAGTGGGACTAAATTTATCTAAACTACCTTTTAGTCATAAGCAATTATGTTACATTCTTGAGTTCAAAAGGAGCATAGATTGAAGATCTTTCAAAATATTTAAGGTGTAAATTCTAATCATTTTTTTGAATAATTGAAAATGTATCATTTAAAATTTTTTCTTATTGAACTAGCACAGTTGATTTTCTTGTTTTGATATTCATTGGTAATAATCTCAGGGTTTTTCTTCACCTCAAGTTTGACATTCACAACTCCAAATTTTGGCGTTCAATTCTTTTTTTGTTTTCTATAATAGTTGGATTAAACTTTAACTTCAATGCAGAAAGTTTTATAATTCATGTGTCTTGCATGCACATTTTCTTTAGTTAGTTTCGTACACAACTTGTCTTGTTTTTTTGTTTTCAATTCGTTGTATATCCTATTCATATATTATAGTTTATCACGTAATTTTTTTTTCCTTTTTACACCAACTTATCATGACTCAAATAGAGGTTATGATATTCCTATTTATTATGCAGACTATAGTAAATGTATTTTGAATAACAGTTTGAAAATTCAAATAACTTTTAATATGCGAATTAATGAAACTTCCTCCATCCAGCAGTGACCTCAAAGGTATATAAGTAGGAGTTGGGTATTTTGCAAACATCAAGGTTTCAAAAAGTTGTAAGAACCAATAGTGAACATAAGAATCTTATGAAAGATGCCAACCAGATTATTAGTATAAATTTGTACATTATTATGGTAAACTGTTGGCGTATAATTCTGTTCTACATTACGCTTTAAAACATGTTATTGACTTGCCCATTTTACTAACTCAAAATGTGAGACTATAGAAATATATCTAAATTCAAGCTAAAAAGAAGAAAAATATTACATTAAAAATTGATTTTATAGATTATAGAACTAAAGTATGTTCAAACACAAAATTTTAAGATATATAATGAAGAATGAAAGATTTATACAGTCCATATAATCTTCCCTTAAGTTGTGCAAATGACAAGAAAAGCAGAAAATATTAAAAAAAAAAACACTATCCTTGTGCACATTATCTATATAGAATATGTTCGAGAATAACTATTTTTATGCTCGAAGAGTTCAAGGGTTATCTATGAATATATTTACTTCAGATATTTTGTTGTTGTGGCTCTTATGGGGAATTTTTATAGTTCATAAAGTGAAGCTAAGAGAACAATTATGATTTATTGATTTTTGTAATCCAATCACAAATGATCATAAATGTTATATTTATTGATTTTTAAAATAATTGTCTTAAATGATTTTAATTAATCAATGGTACTTTTTTTATTTTACGGAATTTATTTAACTTTCCGATATAGTATTATCACCCCATAAACCACTTTTAGAAATGAGTTAAATTTATTATAAAGAATTATATGCATATCAATTATTAGCAAGCTCTCGTAGCTCAGTTGGTTAGAGCACCCGTTTAGTAAGCGGGAGGTCTTGAGTTCGACTCTCAACGAGAGCATACAATGATTTACTTTTGAATATTTTTAAAATATTGCTTTTATCCATTTTTCGGACACTTTTCTTTTAATTATATTTTTTTGTGTTTTGGGCTTTGGCCCAATTACGCTACCACTAAAATAGTTTTAAGATGTAAGATTTGTACATAATTTATTTATGACTTAACAACGTAAAATCCTCAATATAACAAATAAAATTTGGTCAACTTTACTATTTTCCCCTGCTTTATTTTTTTTCCACGGGTAAGAAGACTAATATCTTATTTAGATATTTTGAACAAATTTTTTTCTTTAACGATTTTTACATAAAAATAAAATTAATTTTCCATAAGTTAAAATCAATGTTCTATACTAATTTTAATTTTTTTAACGTATAGAAAATAAACTTTATGTTTCTCGTGTTGAAGTCGTTAAAAAAAACTTGTCCAAAAGAACTCTAAAGCTCTTTTTTTTTTCTGGATAAAATGACGCATTTATTTAGATAAAGTATATATTAGTCACTTTAAAAATATATATTTTAATAGTTTTCAAATGAATTAGTATATAAATTGCTTTTCTTAATTAAAATTAAACTAATTATAATACGAATAATACAAAAGTACAAACTACTCTACTTAATAGAAATTGAATTTAATTTATTTACTATTAAAAGGATAGTTTTGTATGATTATTGAATGAACACAACTACTACCAAAAATGGTATTATTTTTTGGATATGTTTATTTGAATTTTGGCGATGGGTCACTATCTGTATAATATATGAGTAATGAAGGGCAGAGTGATGGTAAAGAAAAGGAGATGGAATGGTCTTTATTAAGGGACCCAAGTGAATGAGATAAAATGTGTAAAGTTTTGTGGTAAGAATGATGAAGAAGTAAAAAAGAGTACTTCATTCATTGGTACATATGTAACAAAAATAAATGTGTAATCATAGTACGTAACCTTCACACATCGTCCAATTATTTTGGCTTTAATTGTAACTTGGTTTTTGACTTTTAGCAATCATATTGTTCCATCACATGATCACCAAACACTCACAAATAAACCTATCATTGCTCCGACTGGAATGACATGGAGAAAAAGACTCTTCCCATACACTCTCTTATCATACTTTCTCTCTATTTTCTTTACCAACATTATCTTTTCTTCATTTTTAACATTCTTTTCTTGTTTTTTTTCAAAAGGGCACATGAAAAATTCAATATTTATATGTTCCTCAAATTTAAAGCTTATTGGGTAGAATATATGCAACTTCAATATATGATATGTCGGGTGGATTTGCTTGTGCATTCAACATGTTTGAAAGAAAGGCGCAACCAAGATGCTGCGCTGACTCAACCTTGCACAGCTCTGTGGTGTTGCACACAGTGATAACTTTTCCACTTCATGGCTTCATATATACCCCTCATTCTGATTTTTGGTTCAACTTGTTCCAACAATGGCTGATGATGAATAAGAATTTACTTTATATAGCTTCAAGATGATGTTTACTGGCAAACCTACAAAAGTCACCCTGTCTTTCCATCAACATATATGTTTGTCGGTGGATTCTATGCATATTTTAGCTGAGTTAATAATACAAAGCTTATATTCAAATAATGCATATTGGAAAGAAACTTGAAGGTGACGTCTGAGTTAGAACAACTTGGTACCCAGTGATCAGACTTGAAAGAGTCATGCTTTTTTTTTAAGTAGAAGAAACTTTGAGTGTGATTTATGCAGCAAGAATATTTTTGTTCTGGAATTCATATGAAAGGAATATGTATTGATATAAGGTGTTTGTGGCCTACAAGAAGGTAAAAGTTGTACAAGTGTTGAGACCACAGAAATGATGAGGCTATCACGAAAAAATTGTCTTGTGAATGAAACATTTCCTGAATGCAATGCAGTAGTATAGGCTAGGTAGGTTGTTGAGTATGCATTCCAACAAGTGGGAAAAACATGCATGCAGAGGAAGTTAATTATATATGTACTTGCAGATAATGTCACATGAAAAAGAACCTAAACAACTTCAAGAATAATGCTCTCTCATGCATTATTATCAGAGACATGTGCTCTACTTGTAATTCTAAATTCATCACCTATATGAATATATGCCAAAGCCTTTGTTCCCCCACCTCTTATATACTCATTTTCTTTCTCTCTCTTTTTTTTTTTCTTTTATATATATATATATATATATATATATATATATATATATATTCCCATACTTAATGTATGATCTTCTATTATATCAACACGGCCATTAAAATAAGAGTTTTAATCACCATTTCTCACTCCTACAATGCGCAATTCTTATTATTTTCATCATATTTCTTTTTTTATATTTTGCAATACTTTTCTTTATGTTTTTATTTTAGAGTTTTCAATTTCGTATATCACACTTTTCTATACTATATATTACAATACACATGTATATTATTACTAAAGGAAAAAATAAATTTAAAAACAAACAATTGGAAGAATCAATCTCCTCGAAACTCATTATACTTTATCAATATTGGAATTCAAGAGACAAAGATTATGACATAAAGTATAATTATATAATGGTTTAAGAAACTTAAATTATTTATAATTTTCTTTTAATTACAAATAATTTGTTTCTATTTTTTTTCGTTCAAATTATTTTTTTACATAATGTCTTTTTAGTTTATGTTCGTGAGAGACGATGAACGGCAATTTCCGTTATGGTACTACAACTGCAACATCCTTTTGTCTCGAAAAAATGAACACGGTAACATACACAGGTGGCTCGCGCATGGGTGAAGAATGGAGAAGAATAAACCCTAAAAAAGTCTCTCTATTTGTATGTTTATAAATTAAAAAAACAAGAAACTATTTTTCTATATTAATTATAAATAGAACATGTATAGAAATTTTTTTTCATATGTTATTACACTTAACTTTTATACTTGTTATAAATAAAAAGATATAAAAACTTAATATTAATATCAATATACTACTTTATAATTTTAACTAATCAGATAATAATTCTATCATATTTAAATAAATAATATACAGAAGATTCAAAATTCTGAAAAATCACATCCAACGTGTTTTTAGTTTACTAATTTGATTAAATTAGAAAACAACCCCCTGAATTTATATTTTATCCTTCGGAATAGTTATCATTATTAATCCATGTGTTTATTATCTTTAGCAGCGACTTATAGTTGAATGCAGCTCATATTCGAGACACAGACCAAATGATATTGGTGTTGTAGTGAACAGATAACCCTCTG